CAATTTAGAACTGTTTACATGAATAATTCTTTTGTGAAGGGGCTGTTTCACCATAGTCTCTTATACAGATGGCACATCCAGTCAGGTCTGCTGAATTTTGGGCACCGCCATCTCCACCAACGCCTCTCCTCTGCCTTCCTTCATCAGTTGTACCTTCCTCTGGCTCAGACACGCAGCTCTTCACTCCAGATCAGTAGTTTCTCTGTAGAAAGAATAGGTTTCCAGGTGGTGGTATAGGCATATCATAAGGCTTTTTTTTCCATTTTGCCACCTGAAACTATTCCTTCCTGATCATGCTGACCTTCCCCTTATGGGTACACAGAAGATGTCCAGCTGACATGGGATCCAAGATCGCTTCTAAGTGGCTCCGCAGCAAGCTTCTGAGGAAAGGGGCCTGTGAAATTCTCCACTCTACCAGTAGCATCAGTCCTTCCCTGGTATGGCTCCTTGACCAAACTTTTGAGGAGATCTGCAGGGAACAGCGTGCCTTTCTTTGGAAATACAGAGAAAGGTCATTGAATGAGGTGATGGGAATCTCCAGTAAACCCCTAGCAGGGGATGCCTTTGCAAGATACCCAAAAACAAATTGGCAAGACATACACCATTCTGCGACCTCTGGATCTTCCACTTCCACATAGATCTGATGTCCAATTCAGCAGAGCAGTCCTGCAGTCACTATTTAGTTAGTATTTCTCAGAACCACCTCCTGGATGGTCATTGCTGCTTCTTAATTTCTCCAGAATAAGGATCCATTTGGACAGTTCACAAAGGAGAAAAATCAATAACTTCCCTTGGTAACTGTGGTTCTCCACAATGGTTGCCCATATTGATTCACACTTCCTGCCAATCTTCCCCTTGCCCATGAAGTCTTGGGTTAAGGTTTCCTGAATTAGGGAGAAGAAATGCAGGATGATTATGCCCACATCCTCTTTTACATCCTGGGAACCTAGAGTGAGGGGGAGGATGGAGCAATCCACTGGACAATGATTGCTAGAAGCTCCTGAGCTCACGTGCCAGAGATGTGGTTTTCCAATGAGCAAGAACCTTATGTTATCTCATTGTGATTGCCTGACTCTTGTCTGTGGACAAGGGAAGATCACCCATCAATGCCATGAGCATGTCAGTTCTGTGCTGTGCGCTAGATTTCCCTCTTCATAGGAAGTGTTAGCAATCTCTATTTGTAGGGGCCCCAGTTGCCCTCAGTTTCTTTCACCAGCCAGAAAAGGCCCGAGTCACAGTCATTGGTGGAAGCATACAACTGGGTATTTCCCTACCAGCTTGGGGACAGATGGATTGTTTTCAGATGCTGGTATTGAGATGTTAATGAGTAACCATCTCTAATAGCAAAAAGCAATGATAAATGTGCTTTTATTGTTAGAAACAGAATTAGTGTTATCTATTTAAAAGCAATGAAGTCTAAGTAGCTCATTTTAATAAATTGTAACTTAGATTTTTATTTACTTCAGTCATTAGAGGTGCGACTTCAGTATGATGTAGAAGATATCATTACTCCTGAACCAGAAATAATTCCTCCGTTTCCTGATGCCTCATCCCAACTTCCTTCCTTAAAGAGCCTTTCAGGCAGTACCAACACTGTGGCATGTGAAGGAACGATGAAGGACAGTATCCCATGTCTTAGGTAAAGTAATGCACTTATTTAAAGACTTACCCTTCCAAAATGCATTCTACTCATTCAAATAAATCATATTTAACAACTTATTAATGAATTGGAAAAGGAGGATAAACAATATGTTAATATAATTCATAGATGATACTAAACTGGAATCTGTGGCAAACAGCAGTGAAATAAATAATATAAAGGGGTTTAAAATGGTTAGAAATAGAAATATTTAATATAAATTATTAAATGAGACAAAGACAATTTAATACATCAGGGGAAAATAATCTGAAATAAAGATTAGGAAGACACTTGATAAGCAATTACGCCAAAGAAGACTTTGTGTTGAGAGAGGCCTATAAATTAGATCTGGACTTGTAAACTGATATGAGAGCAAAAGAAAAAAAAAGGTCCAAAATTTTTAACTGAAAACAAACAAGCATCTCAGCATGCATCAGCCTTTAGTTTACAGGGGAAAGTATTGTCTTTTGTGTTGACAAAGTGATCTCCATAAAACAGTCATGTCCAAAACTACCAGTATGTGCACTTCCTCTGGTATGGAGCTACGATCTTCCTTTGAGGAAAAACTTGTATGTATTTATAGAAGAAAACTATGTATTTATAAAACAATAATAAAAAGCATAAAGGTAATAACATGAGATAGACGTGGAGTTACTGGCTTAATATGGGGGGAGCAAACTAGTGGAATGTGGTCTAGATTAAGTTAGTATTAGGTGGATGTACAAGTGGTTGAAAAACCGTACTCAAAACGTAGTTATTGATGATTTGCTGTCAAATTGGGAGGACATATCTAGTGGGGGCCTGCAGGGGTCTGTCCTGGGTCTGGTACTATTCAATATTTTCATTAATGACTTGGATAATGGAGTGGAAAGTAGGCTTATAAAATCTTCGGATGACACCAAGCTGAGAGAGGTTGCAAGCACTTTGGAGGACAGGATTAGAATTCAAAAGGACAAATTGCAGAATTAGTCAGAAATCAACAAGATGAAATTCAAGAAAAGTGCAAAGTACTACACTTGGGAAGGAAAAATCAAATGCACAGTTACAAAATGACTAGCTGGTAGTACAGCTGAGAAGGATCTGGACGTTATAGTGGATCACAAATTGAATATGAGCCAACAATGTGATGTAGTTGCAAAAAAAGCTAATATAATTATGGGGTGTATTAATAGGAGTGCCATATATAAAACCCAGGAAGTAATAGTCCCACTCTACTCTGCAGTGGTGAAGCTTCAGCTGGAGTAGTGTGTGAAGTTCTGTGTGCTACACTTTAGGAAAGATGTGAACTAATTGGAGAGAGTCCACAGGAAAGCAACAAAAATGATAAAAGTTTTAGAAAACCTGATTTATGAGGAAAGGTTAAAAAAGCTCAATGTGTTTAGTCTTTAGAAAAGAAGAGTGGTGGTGGACCTGGTAACAGACTTCAAATATGTTAAGGACTGTTATCAAAAGGATGGTGATCAATTGTTCTCCATGACCATGGAAGGTAGGACAAGAAGTATGGGCTTAATCTGTAGGAAGGAAGATTTAGATTAGATATTAGGAAAAACTTTCTGTTTATAAGGATAGTTAAGCATTGGAATAGGCTTTCAAGGGAAGTTGTGGAATTTCTATCAGAGGTTTTTAAAAACAAGTTAGACGAACACCTTTCAGGGATGGTCTAGGTATACTTGATTCTGTCTCAGCCCAGGGGGCTGGACTAGATGACCTCTCAAGCCCCTTCCAGCCCCACATTGCAGAGATCAATGTTTATTTTTATTTTAGTGCATTCATAATTACTTTAAATATTATTAAATATGTCTCATTTTGTTTCAAAATCAGTTTAAATAAACAGTGACTGACAGCTCTGTCTTTTGGGCTCCTGAAAGTAATGTTTTAGAACATAGAAACATCATCTAATTAGCATAAGAAAATATATGTTGTTTATACATATGTGGCTGTATTCACTTTGGCACCCATCAGTCCATCCTTATTCAACAAAGCAGATGAACTTTAAGAAGGTGCTTACTCTCACTGATGTCAGTGGGAGACGCAATGGAAAAAGGAAAAAAACAAAAAAACAACCCAGGGTGATATCCTGGCCCCACAGAAGTCAGAGAGTTTTGCCATTAACTTCAGTGGGGCTAGGACTTTACTCTGAAGTGTTTTGTTGTTTGTTTGGTTGTTTTCCATGGTTTGAACTTCTCTGTCACTATAAAGCATTTCCATGAATGTAATATATATTTGAAAAGATTTTTTGATACTAGAAACATTAGGCTCTTATTTCAAAATGTGAATGGAAAAAAATTATGTATTTGAAAAAATCAGAGAAGTGATGAGAATATTGAATAGTGAGGTTCCTGTGAAGGCTGTTAGAACACAATAACATTTCCAGAACTGCCTTGGTGGAGTCTTTGCTTATTTGAGAGAGCAATGTCATCACTGTCATCAAAAAGTAGCTGTAATAATAAGAAGACTCTGTTTCCAGACTTCCAGTGTCTCTTCAACATCCAATTGTCTTTGTCAACATCCTGGAAACATGCTGTGGGGAGAGGGGGCTCCAGCTCACTCGGCCCCTGTCCCCAGCAGATGGGGCGGTAGCTGGCAGCCCCCCACCCAGGTCCTGCAGCCGGGGACAGGGACCGAGCGAGCTGGAGCACCTCTTCCCCCCCAGCATGCTTGGCCCCTGTCCCCGGCAGCTGAGCCCGGGCAGGAAGTGGGCCGCTGTTGCCTCCTAGACAGGCTCTCCTAGGCAGAAGCGGCTCCGTCCCACTCCCCGCTCAGCTGCCAGGGAGAGCGGCCAAATGTGCTGGAGGGGAGGCACAGGGAGAGAAGGAAACATCCCCTCTCTTCCCGCAGGTAATGTGGAGCGCAGAGAATGCTGAGGCCCCAGGCTGAGCAGGTCGCCGGCCAGAGGAGAAACATGGAGCAGTCACGTGTCCTGCCCTTTAGCTTGTGCCCCCCCAGTATGGGGAGGCACCAATCATCTATGCGTTCCAGCATGTTTGGGCTCCACCTGTTAGGGATTCCAATCTGTTCTGGGCTCAACATATTAGGGATCAGTCACACTGGCTCAATAATAGCAAGGTTCCATAGCTTCTCAGAATCATTTTTCACTTTTGACTTTGTGTGGTTCCAATTCTTTGTTGTAAATTAGAGCAAGACAGGTTTCAAAAGAGACTGTAACAGTAGTGCCATCAGCCTGTAATCGGTCAAATGCCTCTGAAACTGTCTTCAATTACTTTTCTAAGTTTAGTTCCTCTCTGTAGAGAAATGTCTGTTCAGAAATCTCTCCATTATGGTCATATACTTCATAGTTTGTTAAACTAACATATTAAATGGAAGAATCTCCTTGGGGACAGGCTGGCTAGAGTAGTCAGGAGGGGATAAAATTAATAGCAAAAAGGGACGGTAAAAAGAGGGAAAATGTGAGCATTTAGCCCAAATTTGAGATGTTGAGAACAAAATTAATCAAGGAACCAAAGAACATGATGAGAAGAAATTCTTTAATTGCCTATACAATAATGCTAAGAGCCTGGCTAACAAATGAGGAATAGGAATTGCTCACTTGATCTAGTTGATTTTATTGAAACATGGCGGGATGATTCTCACAATTGGAATGTTAAAATCAATGGTTCTAACCTATTTAGAAAGGATCAAGTGAGCAAAGGGGGAGTGGGAGTGGCACTTTACATCAAAAATGGCATTACCTGTTTCTGAGTCACTGATAACTTGGAAGAAAATTATCTTGAATTCTTATGGATCAATGTCCTAACAGATAAAGCACAAAATGGGGTACTAGTAGGTGTTTGCTACAGACCACCAAATCTCATTAGAGAACAGGATAAGCACCTCCTTACACACTTATCTATAATGTGTAGGGGAAAAAACTGTGTGATCATGGGAGACTTCAATCTGAGTGGCATAAACTGGAGGTCTCATGCTGGCAATACTAAAACATCCATGGAATTTCTAAACATTATAGATGACAAGTTCCTAATTCAAAAAGTGCTGCAGCCTACATGAGGGAATTCTGTATTAGACCTTATCTTAACGGATAAAGAAGTTAATGGTAGCTTAGGTACAAGTGATTATGACTTGATCACATTTATAATGTCAAGCAGAGTAAAGTCTAGACCAGCAATATATACACTTGGTGCTTTAATAGGGCCAATTTTCCAAAGCTGAAAACAATTGTGAGCCAAATCAGCTAGGAGAAAGAATATATGATAAATATGATCATAGAATCATAGAATATCAGGGTTGGAAGAGACCTCAAGAGGTCATCTAGTCCAGCCCCCTGCTCAAAGCAGGACCAATCCCCAACTAAATCATCCCAGCCAGGGCTTTGTCAAGCCTGACCTTAAAAACCTCTAAGGAAGGAGATTCCACCACCTCCCTCGGTAACCCATTCCAGTGCGTCACCACCCTCCTAGTGAAAAAGTTTTTCCTAATATCCAACCTAAACCTCCCCCACTGCAACTTCAGACCATTACTCCTTGGTCTGTCATCTGCTACCACTGAGAACAGTTTAGATCCATCCTCTTTGGAACCCCCTTTCAGGTAATTGAAAGCAGCTATCAAGTTCCCCCTCATTATTCTCTTCTGCAGACTAAATAATCCCAGTTCCCTCAGCCTCTCCTCATAAGTCATGTGCTCCAGCCCCCTAATCATTTTTGTTGCCCTCCGCTGGACTCTTTCCAATTTTTCCACATTCTTCTTGTAGTGTGGGGCCCAAAACTGGACACAGTACTCCAGATGAGGCCTCACCAATGCCGAATAGAGGGGAATGATCACGTCCCTCGATCTGCTGGCAATTCTTCTACTGAATGATAATTGGGAATCATTTCAGAGCACCTTACTAGATGCCCAAAAAGCCACAATCCTACAAGAGAGGAAGAAGGTTGTGCTGGTTAAAAAACTGACCTAGTTTAGAGGAGATGTGAAGGCAGCTGTACAAAATAAAGTGTCCGCAGGTTCAGCCGATCGCAGCTCCAGCCGATCGCAGCTCCAACTGGCCGCAGTTCGCCATTCCAGGCCAATGGGGGCTGCGGGAAGCAGCGCAGGCTGAGAGATGTGCTGGCCGCCACTTCCTGCAGCCCCCATTGGCCTGGAACGGTGAACTGTGGCCAGTGGGAGCTGTGATTGGCCGAACCTGCGGACGCTGCAGGTAAACAAACCGTCCCGGCCCGCCACCGGATTTCCCTGATGGGCTGCGTGCCAAAGGTTGCCAATCCCTGGGCTAGATAGATAGGAAGGGGAAATTAAAGGTAAAGCAACACTTTATGTGGCCTTTTAAAGCACAGCCACTCTTGAATTTCTCAGATTTTATCAATCACCACTGAATAGAATCCCCCATAATAATATTTAATTTAAGAACTTATCTAGTTAGGATTGGGTTACAGCAGGATCTACAGATCTGGGTCCATGGACACAGAAATTTGCATCCCAGGAGCTGCATGTGTGATATGCAGGAGGAGGTACAGGAATTAACCATAGGCATGACAGAGAGCAAGGAGTACCACAAATAATTTTACAGGGTTGGTTCTTTATCATTGGATTGGAACTAGAGCTTGGTTGGAAAAACTTTGACACAATCATTTCATTTTCCATCAGAAAATGCAGTTCCACTGAAATAGAAATTATTCACAAAGTGATTGTTGATTTGGCAGAAATTTTGTTTGGGTAAAAATGGGAAAGCTATTTCCGACATTTCAACACTTTTTTGGAATGAAATGTTTAAATTTTTTTCTTTTGAAATGACTTTTTGTTTCTAAATTGTTTTATTTTCTACTATATATTATAAAATTTTAAAAAGTTGAATTTGTAATGAAACAAAACAATGTTGTTGAAATGAAACATTTCAATTGACCCAAAACAAACAAACAAAAATTTGAAATTTTCTTTTGTGGACAATTTTGACATTTTCAGGTTTCATTCCTAATCTGAAACCTCATTGAAACCCTCAATGAAATGAAATTTTTCTTCTCTACACAGCTCTAATTGGAACATATAGTCTTAATCTACAATTATATTAAAAGTGTGGTGGGAATTCCTCTTCAGTGCTGATCCAGTCCTACAAGGGAAGTTGGCTTCACTATTATCTCCTTAGGGTAAATAGTTTCTATTATTGTGCCCTAATCGTTTTGTTTATGTGTTTCTGTTTTGTGTCCCTTTTTCTTCTTAGTGTTAAGACTCGACCTGTGCGAATGCCTCCTGGATACCAAGCAGAACTTGTTATTCAGTTGGTGTGGGTGGATGGTGAGCCTCCACAACAAATCACCAGTCTGGCCGTAAACTCAGCCTATGAACTGTAAGTAACTAAAAATCATGTTGTATTGATTTATTCTTTACTCAGATAAGCAATGTATGTTTTAGTTATACTTTAAAGTTCCCTGCAGACACTTAAAAGTCACCGTGAAAAATCAAAATTTGCTTTAAGCTTGGGTTCTTGGGTAAAAAATTACAAGAACAAGTAACCCGCATAAAGGATGTAATATGAGAAGTTCATCTGACATTCTCATGATCGCATCTTTCACATATATCCCTGTCCTTTTAATCAAAAGATAATACCTTTCTGAGTTATAATTTTTTTAGGATATCTTAAAATAATCACCAGATTACCTGCAGATGGCACAAGGGGGTATAAATTAGACCTCCCGGTGACACTTTGATAGAAGGCAGGCACTGGTGTCACTGCTGCCTTCACTTGGGTACTTGTTAGACGGGACAGTTTTCGTTTATGGCTAGGTCTCCACAGAAAACCAGCTGGAAAAGGTTGTGGTGGGGATGCACTGGCCATGTATCCTTTCCAACCAGCACGGCCCATTTGATTCCATTTAATACTAATGGGTGTTGCACGTGTGCATCAAATCAGGAAAAGAGTTTTTACAAGTTTGTTTCTGGTAGAGAAGATATCACTCAGGTATAAAGGTATAGGTTGGCGTTTCCATGGGGGCCTCCGGGAATTAGGTGCCCAGCTCTTAGTGACTTTCAGTATAAATTTGAGCACTTGCCCCTCAGAAGCCCCTTTGAAAATCTCAGCTATAACGTTTGTATTAGTGTGAAAATATTTGTCTGTCCTGAGGTACTAGTCAGCTCCTAGTCATGAAATCTAGGAATTTCATTAATTTTACCTTTGCCAGAATGCATTTTTCACAATACCTAGGCAAACTTCACCTTTGACCCTTCCTGATCTCATTGAGTGCACCCCTTTCCAGGTCTAGCCATCACCTGGTTCTGGGTGGAATCACTCATTTCTCCATCCTCAGTCTGGGCCCTGGTTTGCAGTGCCCTGGTACTAACCATGATTACCTCAGCACTCTGATTTATGGCCAGCAGCTGCAATTCTGTTCTATTCTCTGGGAGCAATGACAGTGGTAAGCAGCGACCAGGAAGGGTGCTGGAACAGTTTGCATAGTGGGGATGCTGAGAGTCATTGAACCAAACTGTAAACCCTGTATATGGTGGAAACAACTTAAAGCCAGGGAGTGCGGCAGCACCTTCAGCGCCCCTAGTTGCAGCACCTAGGGTAACCAGCCAGCCTCTTTGAAGCAAAATATTGCTTATTTAGAACAAAAGCATTTCAGAGAATACAGATCTTAAAAATAATGAAACTGATTGTATGCATATTGAGCTTTTCCCTAAGGTTTACCATTCCCTTGATCTGGGAAGGCCCGACTGCTTTAGACTGCCTCCACAGAGTATCTCTGTCTCAGCCTGTCTCCCTAGGCAGCTTTTGACAAGTGACAGCCCCTTCTCTTCCTCGGGATACTTTCTAACTCTTTAGTGTTCTTTTGATCTCTGGCCTCCCCCCCTGGGAAAACAGCTGTCACTTCATCCTAGAGCCTGGAAATAGGCCATTATCTTGTAATTTCCCCCAGTGTTTGTTGGGAGGTTGCTTATGTGGGACCACTGTATTGCCTTCCTGTTTATTCTTCCCACAGCCCCCTATTAAATTAGATCAGTGCAGTCATACGGGAAATTCTGATAACCCACCATCGTTACAGGGGCGCTGGAACAATTTTTATAGTGTGGGTGCTGAGAGCCATTGAACCAAACTGTAAGCCCTGTATATAATGGAAACCACTTCAAGCACCCTTACTTCCATCATCTATGCCTAGTTATACAGTAACTTTATCTCACTGAGCAGGCCATGTACAATAGTCATACCTTTATTACATATCCATGTTCATACATAGAGTAGTACATAGCAGCTCCACAGCTGTCACACCATTACTACAGGTACAAAGCATGTATAAAAACAAAGGTTAAAAAACACCTTACACTCAACAAATATAAGGCAGTTGATGTGTTGTGAAATTCAATATATTTCACTTTATTTCTGTTTACTTTGAGCTCTTGCAAGCTGAAAATTAGAAATATTTACACTTTCATGCAATTAAAGAGAATCATCACACTACTGGTTTTCATTATAAAAGTAGAAAAAAGTGTGGCAAAATTCTGCAGGTATATCTTAGTATATTTTAAAATATATAAAAATATTAAATTAAATTTAAACAATGACTAGCTAAGAAGGCCTTTCCTGAAAATGAATGACCAGTTTGTGTGTTCCCTAGCCCTCCACCTGAGCCCAAGGTCCTCAGCCCCTCCAAATATTAACTGCCAAGAAATGTCTGATCAAGATTTTAGCTTTGCTATTATGAAAAATATTAAATTAATTAATGAAAAGCACAAGCATTCCTCCCTTCCCCCAAAATATCAGCTTTAAGAAGTTGAATGATATGCTGCATGTAATATGCAGTTTCTTTCAGTGCCAATCCTTTCTTAGCAGTTAGCAAGTACAGTTGCCAGTGGGAAATAAGAAATTCACTCTGAACTCTTCATTAGGTTTATGATTGCATACAGAAGACATAGGGTATGTCTACACTACGAAATTAGATCGAATTAATAGAAGCCGGTTTTATAGAAATCGGTTGTATACAGCCGATTGTGTGTGTCCCCACATAAAATGCTCTAAGTGCTCTAGTCGGCGGACCGCGTCCACAGTACCGAGGCTAGCGTCGACTTCCGGCGCATTGCGCTATGGGTAGCTATCCCACAGTTCCCGCAGTCTCCGCCGCCCATTGGAATTATGGGTTGAGATCCCAATGCCCGGATGATGCAAAACAGTGCCGCGGGGGGTTCTGGGTACATGTCATCAGGTCCCTCCCCCTACGTCACAGCAACGGCAGACAATAGATTCGCGCCTTTTTACCTGGGTTACCTGTGCAGACAACATACCACGGCAAGCATGGAGCCCGCTCAGCTCAGCTCACCGTCACCATATGTCATCTAGGTGCCGGCAGACGTGGGACTGCATTGCTACACAGCAGCAGCAGCTAACTGCCTTTTGGCGGTAGACGGTGCAGCATGACTGGTAGCCTTCATTGGCGATCTGGGTGCGGGCAGCTGTGGGGCTGGCAGCCGTAGGGCTGCATTGCACCAGCCCCTTGCCTTTTGGTAGAAGATGGTTTATTACGACTGGTAACCGTCGTCATCGTACTGCAGTGGCTGTCAATCATGGGCACCCGGGCAGACAATGATGGTTATCAGTCGTAGTATGCTATTTTCTGCCATGTGCCCTGTTGGATCATTGCACGTTAGCAGAGTCGTAGTATGCTATTTTCTGCCAAGTGCCCAGTATTGTCTGCTAAGCACCCAGAAGAGGCCGATGGCGATCTGGGTGCTGGCAGACATGGGGCTGGCAGACGTGGGGCTAGATTGCTACACAGCAGCAACCCCTTGCCTTTTGGGCAGTAGATAGCATATTACGATTGGTATCCATCATTGTCATATTGCAGTGGGTATCAGATCGTGCAATAGACCTGAAGGCTTACTGCCAAGCGCCCAGTATTTGCTGCCAAGCACCCAGAAAATGCCAAGGGCTATCAGTCATGCTGCACCGTCGTCTTAAGATGTAAAAAATAGATTTATTCTGTATTCATTTGCTTCCCCCCTCCCTCCCTCCTGTTAAACCCTGGCTTTTGAGTTCAATCTTTGGGGGGGGGGCATTCTGTGTGACAGTTGTTTGTGTTTCTCCCTGATGCAAAGCCACCTTTCTTGATTTTAATTCCCTGTACCTGTACGCCATTTCGTCACTCGTCCCTCCCTCCCTCCCTCCCTCCCCTGGTCCGTCAGATACTACTTTCGCGCCTTTTTTCAGACCAGACGCCATAGCTAGCACTTGGATCATGGAGCCCGCTCAGATCACCGCGGCAATTATGAGCACTATGAACACCACGCGCATTGTCCTGGAGTATATGCAGAGCCAGGACATGCCAAAGCAAAACCAGGACCAGGCGAGGAGGAGGAGGAGGCGATTGCAGCACGTCGACGAGAGTGATGAGGAAATGGACATGGACCTAGACCTCTCACAAGGCACAGGCCCCAGCAATGTGGAAATCATGGTGTTCCTGGGGCAGGTTGATGCCGTGGAACGCCGATTCTGGGCCCGGGAAACAAGCACAGACTGGTGGGACTGCATCGTGCTGCAGGTGTGGGACGATTCCCAGTGGCTGCGAAACTTTCGCATGCGTAAGGGCACTTTCATGGAACTTTGTGACTTGCTTTCCCCTGCCCTGAAGCGCCAGAATACCAGGATGAGAGCAGCCCTCACAGTTGAGAAGCGAGTGGCGATAGCCCTGTGGAAGCTTGCAACGCCAGACAGCTACCGGTCAGTCGGGAATCAATTTGGAGTGGGCAAATCTACTGTGGGGGCTGCTGTGATCCAAGTTGCCAGGTCAATGAGAGACCTGGTGATATCAAGGGTAGTGACTCTGGGAAACGTGCAGACCATAGTGGATGGCTTTGCTGCAATGGGATTCCCAAACTGTGGTGGGGCGATAGACGGAACCCATATCCCTATCTTGGCACCGGAGCACCAAGCCACCGAGTACATAAACCGCAAGGGGTACTTTTCAATGCTGCTGCAAGCCCTGGTGGATCACAAGGGACGTTTCACCGACATCAACGTGGGCTGGCCGGGAAGGGTACATGATGCTCGCGTCTTCAGGCACTCTGCTCTGTTTCGAAAGCTGGAGGAAGGGACTTTCTTCCCGGACCAGAAAATAACCGTTGGGGATGTTGAAATGCCTATCGTGATCCTTGGGGACCCAGCCTACCCCTTAATGCCATGGCTCATGAAGCCGTACACAGGCAGCCTGGACAGGAGTCAGGACCTGTTCAACTACAGGCTGAGCAAGTGCCGAATGGTGGTGGAATGTGCATTTGGGCGTTTAAAAGCGCGCTGGCGCAGCTTACTGACTCGGTTAGACCTTAGCGAAAAGAATATCCCCATTGTTATTGCTGCTT